GAGAGAGAGAGAGAGATTATCATTCTAAGGCTCACTCTCTGGAATAACATAGGATCGTCGTATAGGGCAACCACAATTTCGTCCTGTATAGTATCCATATGCTCGTATCTGTCTCCCACGATATTCATCTTTATTCGTCTTTCAGAACTCATCATCTGTATCACGAACCAGCCCATGTTCCATATCTGCTGCACCACGTTAAGACCCTTCCACTCACTGCCCAACACTAGGGATGTCAAGGCAACCCTCACTTCCATCAACCTCCTCAAAATAATGCAGTGATAACCAAACCTGATCTTCTTAGTCTTAAGTTCTAGGTTAAAATGGTTGTAAAAAATGTAAAGGCACCTAGTATGGTTATGAATGCACTTTACTACTGCTTTTGCCTACTTGCAATGCTTTCTAATGAAAGTGAAAGATTGGTTTTTCTTATTTTTATCCACAATATCTCTCATGAGAAGACTCAACATATGAGCCAAGCAAGCCGACCAAAAAATATAAGGATGACGGGTTGAATTATGGCACATGCACCTTTGCAATGGCGGCATTGTACAATTAAATAGACTCCATGGCTTTCAAAAGGATCTCTGCAATAAATTGGTTTGACTTTTTGAACTGAAGAGGAGTCAAAACATTCAGGAACATAGCTTTCCCCCACTGATACAGCCATGACATTACCAGTTTTTGACATTACTCCAACCATCTGACACAACCGCAACTCCATAAGTTCTCCGCGCATATCTAATTGCAGCCAATGCCTGATCGGTCCTACTCTCTTTGTCAAACAAGGTTGTTCTAAGCCTTTCATGTTTGGCTGCTACACAGCCTTTTGGAGTGTGATTAGTAGTGTAAACCATTTCCTGAAATCTGGGTCCCTTCGCAACATTGAAAGAAATGCTGTGGGCATAAAAATATTGTGCAACCGCAGCATGTACATCATCTATTGCTTGGACGTTAAACAATTGTGGGATTTTGGCCTTGATTTTGCCCTGCCTTTTTGATATCCGCCGAGAGCACAATCTCATTTCGAATTTGAGCTTTACTCCCATACAAACTCTGTGCTTCATATTCCTCAAATTTTAAAGCGTCTCACTCTTCCTTGGATATATTGGGGTAGCATGATATCTCCTTGGACCCCTCATCAAGGGATGCCCCCAATAGGTGCGCCCGCACACGCACATCTGACCTAGCTTTTCTGCAGTTAAAATTACATGTCCACCTCTTTGTTCCACCAGATAATTTTAACTGGAAATGGTTTACATGAAGGGGCCTCTCCCAAGCTCACCTCTTTGAGGGCCTCTCTCGATCTCTCTCTAGATCAACACCTGAAGTGTATGAGAAATTATGGTATTTTTGGTAAGTACACTTATTCAAATGTAAAAGGTGTATATTTTCTTTTAAAATTGCTATATACAGATTAATAGGTGTTGGAAGTAGGGAGAAAGATATGGTGACTTATGGCCTAACTGAGGGTATGACCCTTGATAAAGAAGAATGGCCGACTAGGATTTATGTAACCGACTCCAAATAGTTGGGAAAAGGCTATGATGATAATGATGATGAAGATGATATACAGATTAATAGGTACAATTACAATTAGGCGTTTCGTAATATAATAAAGCTTAAATTATATATACCATGGTTTGCAATTTTGGTATCTAAATTCATCAAAAAGAAGTTCATTGAGGTTTCAAAGGCCTTTAAAATGGACATGCAATACTGGAAGCAAAATGAAGTGTCTGAGTAACATTGGTGATGACCCTTCTTATTCTTGAGCAGCTTTGTTGACAACTGGATAATGGGTGCACCCTTTGAGTTAACTGTTCTATTAGATGGGGGGTAGTTTTCAGTATCTTATTCTGTATAAGCAGTTGCTATCTAGCCTTATATTATTTATACTTACAAAGTTACTTGTGCACATACCAAGTCTTTCACACTCATTCAGTTCATGCAATAGTGCTGTCTACTTATGGGTTCGAGTAACAGGCTTGGTATAATTGCTTTCGGATCTGTTGAGATGTGAGAATTTATTTTGTTTTCCTTGGCGTATGCACTCATTTCTTGGAAGACAAAAAATCATAACTGTTTCTATGTTCAGTTTGGTGTGAAGTATAGGACTTTATTTTGACATATTTGGATTTCCACTCCTGCAAGAAACAAGCTTCCATGTGGCTCTTTTCCCATGCTATAGCATTCGTGTTATATGGATCCCTTTCAATCAGTTTTTTTTTGAGCAGACAGAACATTGTGCTAGTTTGTGTGTGTGTGTGTGTGAGAGAGAGAGAGAGAGAGAGAGAGAGAGAGAGATAAGCACAAGTTTGAGCTCGCAACCTAAGGGGCACATTAGGAGTTTCAAGTCACCAAGCTATATTGTTGAGTTATTACTGTTATTGCTCCACGTACTGGACAGTGCAGATTGCCCTGTTACTGATCAAATGGCAGGGAGGCAGGCCATTGCAGGAGCCTCTAATGCCTGCCATTTTAAACATACACATGCATGTGCACTGTGCATGCCTACATGCAACTAGGCATCCAGGCACTCATGCATGAATATGATAGTAATCTGAAGTACCAAAAATTGCTGCTTCACAATGATTGGAAATACACAAAAATGGGCATATGTTTGTGTATATATGTGTTTGTGCTTTTTATCCGGGCTACCCAGTGTTGGGTTTGGTGATAATCAACTCACTATATGCATATTTTCTTCTAAAGATTAAGGGTCACCCCTTTGGGGGTTATGAGTTTTGGGTTGATTAACTTTCACTCCTAGAGAGAGAAAGAGTCTCGGTTACTCTTGAAGTTATCTTTCTGGTAGCGGTATGATATTGCGGTGGGAAAGAAGCTATTGATCGACGGTGTGGCTTGATCTGGAGAGCGGTTTAGAAGGGAAGATCGGTGATGGTCTTTTACTGATGTTTAGAGATAAGTATTATCTCTTGTAACCAAAAACTGTAATCTTCATTGTGATAGTGGATTTCTAGTTGTTGAAGCTGTGGATGTAGCCTTATGGGGTCAACCACGTAAATCGTGTGTTGTGGTGGTGTGATGTTTATGTTTTCTTTATTTCTCGCACTCGATTTATAGTTGTATTCATCTACTTCGCGTTTAGCCAATCATATACACGATCTTGGGTGGGATCCCGGTATTTGGGATTCCCCGTTCTGCAAGCTAGGGGTTCCCGAGAACCGTACACCAAATCCATACTATGTTTGGTTTCAAATATCATTAAGTCATGTCACGAGCGAGAGAGAGAGAGAGAGAGAGAGAGAGAGAGAGAGAGAGAGAGAGAGATCTTAAACCTGCATAAATGTGAGTGACCTGATTTTTTTTGCTTTTGCAGAGCTCCTATGGTGCTTGGCTCTTTGGATTTGTAGAGAAACAATGAACAAGGATGTGCAACTGGATGAATTCTTTCTGTATGTCGTATCTCAAGCATATATTTTTTTTTTTGATTTTAGGAACATAGTTTTCAACTTTGAAATCAGAGGTACACAAGAAAATAAGTGGAAGATATCACTTTTGTACACAGGTTTCTATAGGCTTATTTAGTGTTCACTACATTGGTGCTTTTGGTTCAAATTCATTGAAATTTTGGATGTATGACAAATTAACTGCTCATTGAATGAAGTAAAACTCTATGAAATTTTGAATTCAAGTAATGTTGAAAATTTTTAACTTTTCATGAACAGATGTTCGATAATATATATATATATATATATATATGCATATACATACATACATACATACACACAACTCGAAATAGAAAATGGGTGTGGGGTTTGTGACTCCATTTTTATAAGAAGGTGAAGTTACTAGATAATGTTTGTAAATTCATGCTCGATGAAAAATTTGTGTCAGGTAAACATAACCTACTGAAAATTAGGCAGATAAATCTTCCTTCAAACTAGGAAAATAAGTATGGAAGCCTTTCTTTGTGTCTCCATGCACACATGATTCGCATCTGTCTAGACATAAAGAGCCATATGATCTTGACCATAGGACCATAGGGTTAGGGGTGAGCCGAAAATAATATTATACAATGATCCCATTGTATATTAGACCACATTTAATGATATATGATGATCCCATTATGTGTTAGACTGTATATAATGATTGGCATAGTTGTTGGCTCAATCCCAGTATTCTGATGAAAGATCGAACGGTTGGATGTCTCTAGATACATAAATTATGTAAATTATATGTACAGAGACGCATAGATAACTTGCTCAATAATTCATTATCAAAAAAAAAAAAAAGGTCAATAATTATTTATTTGCATGGTACAAGCATGGTGGTCAGGTTCCGTTCAGGGTATGACTCGGTCCTCTGTTGCACCAAGCCGGGTTGGCAATTTTGGTCCAAATTTTCTAAGTTGGGTGACTCGGCTGGAAAAAAAGTAAAAGTAAAGACAAATGGATTTAAATTGATGATCTTTAAGAAATCATTGATTTTCTTGTTTTAGTTAAAAACATATTTGAATATGTTGAAATTTAGCAGATGGATTGTAAATCATTTGGATATCTTCTCTTACATTCATTTTCGTAAATTATACTACTTTACCATCATTTATCTGATTCCAGTGGTTAGGAGTTTTGTTCCTGAAATTTTAATAGATCCCTTGTAGATTTAGGAGAGTAAAAATGATCCAATTCAAGGGAAAATGGATAAATCTAATGATTTCTTTGGGGTTTTGATTTGTGATAATTTTAGAAAAAATATTTTAAATGAGAATGTTGAATTGCAACAAATTTGAGAGGAAAGAGAGGGAAGATGATAGAGAGAAGAATGCAGGCAAGGTGCTCTCAACCCACTAGGTTCCTGGGCTCAAGGCCAGGTGGTGGGGTTCCACAACGTGACATTTTGAGCTCGGTTCCCCCTACTGCTAGGGGACCGCTTCCTCACTGAACTACCAAAAAGAAAGCATGAAAAATAACAGGTAGATACCGGTTCTTGATGAAGAGAAGGATTCAACTTGGATTCACATCATTCATTCAGCTACGATTCTCATCATCCTTTTCATAGGGATCACACTAGCCGTTGCTTATTGGCTTTGAGTCTATAGGGATGAGATCTGGGAAGGGTCTTGCCTGATCTGGACACAATTTTGCAAAAGCCCATTCCCTACTTTTAAAAGCCAAGGAAGGTGATTATGTGCTCTTGTAGGATCAAATTGTTAACTTACTATTGCTGGTAAAACCCTTCATTCGAGGTTTTGATGTACCTTACACCCCTAAAATCTTGTTTTTTAAAAAGATCAATTGTTCATTTTCCTTTTAAAAAAGGGACTAGGAGATCACGAGGTGCTGCAAATCGTGATCTATTTTTTGGGTAATTCAGTGAGGAATACACGCCCTACTTTTTCATTTATTTTTTTTAAAGGGTGAGTGGTTTTGAAGTTGAGTGGGAATAGAAGAGGTATGGGGGTGCTACTAGCAAGATCCCTCCCCGCCCTTTTTCTAAAAAAAAAAAAAAAAAAATTCGTGATCTATTCCATATTGAATTTGTACATGGATGTCATATTTTAGGAAGTTTGAGCCTATATGTCTTTGCATGTAGGTATTTTCCAAACTTTGTAGATATCAATTCTTTTTAAAATTACTAAATTTCCTAATATTATGAACAATGATGCAATTAAGCTTAACTTTATTAGTTTGGCTCGGATTTGGAGACTCACGAGGCTAAGCCAAGCTTAGGCTTTTTGTTCATCTTTCTTTTATGCCACCATGAGTTTTGATGGGTTGGGTCTCAAATATAAAGTTTTGATCTTCTTTTCACTATAAACTTGTAAACTTTCCATGTGTCTCTTCATACGTATAATTTATATATGTTTGATGACAATTAGCTTCTCAATTTTGAACAAATGGTCGGGAGTTAATTAATAATATTGTCACAAATATGCTTTCAAACATAGTTAGTATTGGCCTATGACGTTCTCAGCTGTCCTAGTGGGTCGATTGATATTGGACAATTGTATATTCCTAAAATGCATACATTGTACATACGTGGATATGCCTAGGAAGGTTTCCTTTAGAAACGAGTAACCTTCTATATATCCCCACAAATAATTTTGTATGTTTTTTAAATCTAACAATCTCATCTCGTTGAGATTGTGAGGAGTGGGCTTACAATATACTATTGTATTGACTATTCACATGCCAAACAAAATTGATTGAAATTGTCCTCAAGCTTACTACTCGCCATACAATTATAATATGATTGGTCAAACAATTGTGGACCTCCAAATATATATCGCTATCTATTTGAGATGAAGACCAATTTAATTCTAAATATTGTTTCAAACTTTTACCATTGTCAAATTGGAGCCTAACACCAAATTCACGTAAAATTCAATGAAAAATTCCCAAGGTCGGACAACAAAAGAAAATCCAAGATTTGGGTCAAATAATGGAGCATGATAAATAAAACATATTTTATGTTAAAATTTTATATTTAACGATAATTTGGTTCGGGTTTTGTTCTATGTGGGTGATGTCATATTTTATGTCGATGATGTCACATGTCTTCTAATGATCAAAATTTTTTTTATTAAAAATATTATATTATAAAAAATATAAATATCTAAAATTTATTGAATACAATTATAAAATGTTATATAATATGAATATCTAAACATAACTCTCGAACAATAAAAGTAGAAAAAGTCTCATATAAAAAAAGAATAAAATTTAGAAAAAAAAAAAAAAGAAGGGAGAAGAAATCGGTTGGGTCCCACAAGACATTGTCACATGGACATGGGCTTCATTCACATGGATCAATGGGCCCACTTGATGATGTGGCAAGATCCATCACGTGGGCCAAATCGATTTTGAGTCACAACATTAGGGGGCAAGGCCACGAGGATGTGATCTCAAAAGTCATCAGCTCCTTCTTTACATTTGTTTTTTTTTTTTTCTTTTTTGACCTTTTTCTCTTTTTTAAAGACATATTCTAAGTATCTACCAGGTGAGGTTATACCATACAACTAAGGCACATCTAAATTTTGTCGGAAACTTTACTGTGAATTGAAAATCCACGTTAATCTATGAAATTTAAATTTTTTAAAATGATACAGATTTATAAACATATAAAATTTTGAATATAGATGATCTAGATAATTTGTTATAAGAAGTACTATTTTTATGTTTTTTTTTTTAATCTATAGATCTCTTAATTGGAAAGCTTTCCAACTTGAAACATTCTTTTTACCGGATTTTTGAGATGCACCTTGCCTCTAGTTGCAACCTTATATAAACTTTTTTTTATTTTAATTTGGGATTGATTTTCTTTATATAAAGCACACAACGACGCCATTTATCTTGGCTATGAAGAGGTCACAAACAACCCTTGGATGTGAAGTAGGACAATTAAAAATGTGTCGTAGACTCAAAGCTATTTTTTTTTTTTTTGTTTTTGAACGTTGTAGCACATCTCAAGTTATGAGATTGCACATGTGATGACTGGAATTGTGACTTTCTTATAATAAATATAAATGGTCTTCATTTTCTTTAATGTATACGATTGGGAATTTCATTGTCTAGCTACGTAGTTATTGCCTAGCAATGTAGTTACTATCATGGTCATCTTAAGGGACTGCTTGGGTGCATGTCGCAAGTCTATATGGACTAGCATTTAGGATCTGAACCTTTTTTTAAGGAAAATTTTGTAAATATTTTTTATGGAAGTATCTACAAAACCTTTATAGGTGAAGTTCTACAGTACTTTACTTACGTTTCATCATCGTCCAAAGTTCATCACAAAGGTCACAATTGTTTAGTAGTATTTGAATTTTTATAATTATTATAATAATCAGATTTATCTAAAACTTGGAGCGTATGTACATATGACCGAGTCACACCAAAATAAAATATTAAAAAAACAATAGACATAAAATAAAATGATAAAATTACCTCTAAAACTTTATAGGGGTATTTTACATAATTTTTATCATTCAAATTATTTGTTTTATATTTTATTCATGTGCATCTCACTAAGACGCACACATCTACAAAATTCTGATCATTATGATTTATAAAAAAATATATTAAAATTCAAACATTATCAGGCATCTGTAACCGTGTGATATACTTTGAACGGTGATAAAGGTATTGGTGAAGTACTATAACTTCACCTATTGCCGTTTTGTAGTGTTTTCTTTTTTTTATATTTCATATCTCATGGTTAGAGATAATTGTGACTTCCTTGTAACAATAATAAATACTCTTATATTTTCTTTGACATCAATAGTTTTGAAATTTCAATAGCTATGTAGTAACTACCGTGGTCATTTTACATACTCTGGTCATTTTAAGGAGCTGCATGGCGGCACCTTGGAGGTCTATTTAATTGGCACTTAAGGTTTGAACTATTTTTTGGGGAAAATTTTTAAATATTTTTAAAATTTATTTAAATATAAAAAAATGTCTCCAATATTTCGTATTTTATAATGATACCTTGTTTCCTTTATTTATTTATTTATTTTTATTTTAAGTAATCATGTTTGGTACTTCAAGTTCCAACTAGTTTTACTCTCTTTTTTTTGTCCGTGCTTTTATGAGTGAGATATTGGTTCCGACATCGAAAGTCTAAACTGATCTTTGAATTGGTTTGAAACTTGAAGGTCCAAACCTGCACTTCATTGTAAAAAGACAAG